GCGGGCCTTATTTCATACACTGGACTGACTGACTGACTGAGTTTAGTTTTACGCCGCTTTTAGCAATATTCCAGCAATATCACGGCGGGGGACACCAGAAATGGGCTTCACACATTGTGCCCATGTGGGGAATCGAACCCGGGTTTTCGGCGTGACGAGCCAACGCTTTAACCACTAGGCTACCTCATACACTGGAGAAGAATCTACACGAAACCTCGTTGTATGCAATAAACAAGACGCTGTCATCCCTGACGTTGTATGGTTCATTTTTGACTCACAAATTTCCAGAATGTCGATCAAACAATCACACTTTCGGTGTCAAATTTCATTACATGTTATCTGCGTTTGGCGTCTATTCTTGAATTAAAACCTGCTTTTTCACTTATATTTCTGGTATATAATGTTCAGTACATGAACATAATTTCATTCGCAATATTTACTGTTTCGTCTGCCATTTTCCCCGTTGGGTTTGCCCGGAAGCGTTTTCTCGAACAGATAAATTTATAAAAGTTTTTGTACACGCAGCTGAAACCGGTTTGCCTGGATATTCAAATATTCACCCAGAAATAGTGTCTGGGTGAGTGATAACCTACCAGCTCATGAATAATCCCGCAAGTTAAGCTAACACCCTGCAGTAAGCTTGGTGGCCCACCACTGCTGCCCAGATTATGGATCACGTGGCATTCGTTGGTCACGTCAAAGTAACGGTTTCTGGAATAGCTGCATTACGTTAAAGGAGGGATTTTATATCCCGAGTAGGAGCTGAGGAAGTCTTTTCTCGCAAGCAATTATCATCAGCAAATAAACACTGTAGCTTTCGATCTCGGATTTTTTTTAAATGGAAAGAAAGATAAACAATAATAATTGTTCGGCTTGTATATTAGTATATGCAGAGAAAGACAATTGGAAGTCTTGAAACAATGATGATGTGTACATGTCCACAACATATTTGCAAATTAATGTTGGCCACTAAACGTAGTTTAATGCCTTGCCTGCATTTCAAGTATCTTAATAAACACACATTATATTATTGTTTTCTTCTTTTTATTCTTTTGAAGTTCGTCTACAATATTTAGCTTATCACTAAGTTTTGTTTCCTTTGAAACTTCCATTACGTATAGGGGCTGTGGGGTAGACATGTGGTTAAAGCGTTCGCTCGTCACGCCGAATACCCGGGTTCGATTCCCCACATGGCTATAATGTGTGAAGCTCATTTCTGGTGTCCCCCCGCCGTGATATTGCTGGATTATTGCCAAAAGCGGAGTAAAACCATACTCACTCACTCACTCACCCCATTACGTATATTTTTTATTTTACACAGCCCACTACTAATTTGTTGTTTTTGTGCCACATTTGTTATCACTGGTGGTGACACGTATCACGTTTATGGAAATTTAGGTAAAATATCGGTAGGAGTGAGTGAGTGAGTTTAGTTTTACGCCGGTTTTAGCAATATTCCAGCAATATCCCGGCAAGGGACACCAGAAATGGGCTTCACACATTGTACCCATGTGGGGAATCGAACCTGAGTCTTCGGCGTGACGAGCGAACGCTTTAACCATTAGGCTACCCCACCGCCCAATATCAGTAGGAACACAGATATATAATTTTCAAACGTTGCGAGAAAGGTAATGGGAACAATGGGGATCCGTCTAAGCGCACTACTCCGCGGAACACGAACTGGGATTATGTCATAGGTGTGAGCTATTGTCGACGCACTGTGCCAACATTCGCTCGGTACATTCCATGCATCCCCGTTGTAATGCGCCGCATGACATTTCCTATTGGTTTAGTCAGGACACATGTGTGTTAAACCCAGTCCAATGCCCGTGTCCCCATATACAAATGTTCATAGAAACGAGGAGTTACGAATGTCTGGAACAAGAGGAACCGTGGTTTCATTGTTCACAAGACAGTGAATCAAAACGAGCATGTCTTTTAAGAATTACACTAACGCTTAGTCTCTGAATATATATAATTTTGATAGCAACAAATAAACCCATACGAATATAAAAGGAGACCCAGTGAGATGGGAGTTATCACTCCTTTTCAGCAACGATTTGGTCTAAATTATTCCGCAAAAAGCTGAACTGGAATATCTAACTTACGTCAAAGGCGTTTTAAACAGTAAGAGATGTGTGATAACGCTCATTGGTATTATTGATATTTTCATTCTATATTCTTTTAGTTATTATTGATTTCTTTTAAGAATTTCATTACTACAAAGGGTTTGCAAGTGTACATTTTGTGGTATAATGATTTGAATGAGTGAGTTAAAATGTAACCTTGCATCATTTCGGCCATAAAATGAAGAGAAAAAGGTTTTATGTCCACAAACATGTCATAAATTCAAGTTTATATTTAAAGGACATTTTTATGCCTTTTACATAACATGTACATCCTGTTAGACTTATGAGTTGAGTTGGGTTTTGCGTCACATCGGCATTATTCCAGCCATATAGTGACGAGAACAAGTTTGAATTAATAAACATTGTAAGTACAGAGTCAAAATGAGTTTTATTTCAAAAACATATATTCATTACATTGTCATTTAAAAGCAGAAAAAGTCATAGCACCAAATTTAAAGGCAGGCAATTTGTTAGTCACATTTTACAGTTACAATTTATGATACAGATCAACTTCCCTCAGGTAGTTCACTATCAGATGAGCGCTCACGCGGGAGAACAGATCTTTCAGATTTGTTGCATCATAATGTGAGTCCCTTGCAGACGATAAGTCCACGCATTCAAGCAGGATATGCTTGATGGTGAAAACCTCATCGCAAGAGACACACATGGGGAGTCCATCCCCATCCGTTTTCAGCAGATAGTCATGCATGTGTAAACCGACTGTGGCCAATACGACATCGTCGTAAAATTAACTCATCACGTCTTGACTGACAACCCAAGTAGGTATAACCAATGGAATAATGAATCTGGGGCCTCAGAATCATGCAGAACGGCCACATATTTGTGTACAAAGTTTTACAAATGAGCAAATAAAAACATTATGATTTGTGTCTTGACCGAATTGTCTTGTCTTTTCGTCCTGTGTTATTAGCATTGATTCTATTTCTGTCTTGCAAAATTTACTACAGATGTCAAATTCATGATTTCCAAAGAGTGAGAGAGTGAGTATAGTTTTACGCCGCGTTTAGCAATATTCCAGCAATATCACAACGGCGGACACCTGAAATGGGCTTCACGTGTTGCACCCATATGGGGAATTGAGCCCCGGCATAGCGAGCGAACGCTTTCACCACGAGGCAACCCCATCGCCCCTGATACCGAAACAGATATTACAATATGTTATTACTCAACAGTAGTCCTGATAAACCCAGGTGGGTATCGCGTGTGAAATAGTTCATTTATTCATTTGGGTGCGGTTATATTTGGTCTGTACGAAATGATCACATGCGGGAACTATTTATATAGACTTTAATAGACACGTACTTCAAAAGCAGTTATCATCTCTACCTTTGTCCAAAAAAATAATCACGATTCGGGTACTGAAACAAATATAAATACTGTATTAAAATGGCATAATAAAATAATATTTTTAATCATTATGAATTATTATTATTTATTGACGCTCACAGGTAGATATACTGTATCCAATAAGCCCGTCTTTGTTTTCGCCTCTCAGGTTCAGATCCTCAGAAGCTACTGATGCCGTTAGGTGAGGTGAGGTGAGGTGAAATTGGGTTTAACGTCGTGCTTATATTTCGCTCATATGACGACTTGCATGCGTGTGTATGTGTATGTGCGGCTGCTTGTACTGGCCCAGACTTAAGCTGGTTTTATAGTGCTAGCCCACTGAGATACCATGCCCCAGTGAAGCATGAATACCCCACTCAGACACATTATACTGACTCCGAGCCGACCAGTCCTTGTTGTACCCATTAATGCCGAGCGCCAGGCAGGGACCAACAAGTACCATATTTTAACGTCTTTTGGTATGACGCGGTCGGGGATCGAACCCGCGACCTTCCGCTCTCCGGGCGGACGCTCTAACCACTACACCACGGAGGCGGTCGATGCCGTTAGGTTATCCGGTAATTAGATATTGCAACTTTACAGACCCCACGAACATTTCTATCAATGAACATTCAAAGAGAAATCAGCAACGCTGAACATGTTTTGAACAAGTCTAAACTCTGTCTATATCGTGTTATAATTGAAGGATTTCGGATGGAGTGGGGTAGCCGGGTGGTTCAAGCGTTGGGTCAAGACCAGGGATCGACCCTTACGATTGGACCCCGCCTTTTTATTGCTAACTGCTCTATAATTATTCGCTATTATTCAGTCATGCAGTTGTTGAGATTAGGCTTCACTGACTCGGAGTTTTTTAGTTAGTGAGTGAGTGGTTGACACAGAATTTGTTTATGACAATTGTTAGTCGATAATATTTACAACCTTGGTAGAATATTTCTCTGATTGACTTACTCGAAGACAAAAGTCCAAATCTGCGTTAAGATTTACATACAAAGAGAAAACAACAGTCAGACCGTGTGAGGATGACCTATTAAAACTTGAAAATAAACAAAAACAAACAAACAACGAAATGTTTGCCACGCCCAATTCCGCGTCTGTCATTTTTCAAATGTGAACTGATATCTCGTCACAGGTATAACTTTCACTGTTATGTTGTATGAAAGACATAGTTGTGTGACTACGCGAAGCCGCGCGTTGTTTGCCCAGGTAGATAGACGCTTGTCTGTAGAGACTTCCTACCTGAGCTGTTGCGGTAACTCTCCCTGAAGTACCGCTACGTAGTCGGACGACATGGCTGTTCCAACAGCTGTCAACCCCCCTCGGTAATACGACATCAATTAAATGTCGTCAACAAATTCAGACACCTTAATAATAAAATGCAGAGATCTACATTATAAGTAACATGAAACTGTCAACACTGTCGTACGTATGATATTCGTATACACATGTAAATTGACAATGTCATTAATTGAACGACAGTCCCCCCTACCTGGGCGTTACTAAAAATACACCAGCCGGTGGCTCTAGATTGGAACTTCCTAGGTGATGTGATTGTAAGTGTAGGACATTTCGTTGTGGATGTTACTTCGTGAACGGACTGATGGATTAGTGAAACGTCTTTACAGGTGGGAAGTGCAGGGAGAAGGATATATACACCTGAACAGGTAAATGCAATATCTACAGGTGTGTATGTGCTGTGAAATGCAGATAAATTTTGATGTGTACTGCGGTGTTGAAAACCACTGCAAGTTGAGGGTGGGTGTGGACCTGTCCCGCGCTTGCATACCTGTCTGGTTATCACCAGGCAAAATGAACGCACGGGGAATCTACATTAAACATTTACTATTTGGCGCTTTTAAATTATGACCTGTATCTTGTGTCAAACGCGTCTCGACCTATTTTCATAGGACACCTACATACGTCGCCATACTCCGATCACCCGACCGGAACGGGCATATGCATGTTCGGACATAAGAAGTGAAATCTCATGTCCGTTTCTCATATGAGTTGGTGAATCTTATAAAGGTTCCACATGTCCCACATTTTTCCGTTGTCTCGTCATCTCCATATGACGCGTATCTTCAAAAACCCAAACAAACCGACTTCCGCTACCAAGCAAATACCTGCAACTTTCGTGTCTGTTGAAAGTAAATATACGTGGGTGATCGCATAGAGACTAGCTGTATTCTTGAACGGTGGCTTTGCAGAAGCAGCCCTTTAACCTTTATAGTAATGCAGTATTTAGTTTCAATGACAGCCTGCATGAAGGTTATGCCACGAGTGTAAAATCAATACTATTACTATAAATATACAACCTGTTGTAAGTTGTAAATAGAGTTCAGTATTGCCATTTCACAGGTAATTAGCTTCAAGTGGGCTGTTATTCAGTGTACTCAGACGTTCAGTAAGATTGTCATTATAATCACATCAAGAAACCTCAACTTATTATGAGAGCGGTGGGGTAGGCTGGTGGTTAAAGCGTTCACAAATCATGCTGAAGACTGGGTTCAATTCCCCACATGGGTAAAATGTGTAATGCCCATTGCTGGTGTCCCCTTGCCGTGATATTGCTGGAATATTGCTAAAAGCGGCTTAAAACCATACTCACTCACGCAACTTATTACGACATTCATACTTTTCATTTTAAGAAATAACACAAATAATTTCTTGAGTTGTCATTAACCCTTGTGTACGTATGTTAACGGCTGTTTTAGATTGTAGTATTGCACCCACTGGGCGGTCATTAGAGAATTGTACGCTGTTCAGATTATGACTTTGGGGATCTAAACGTGATTGAATTTTTTAAGTGGAAATCTCGACATATAAAAGATTAGTTTGGAAAAATGATAGTATGTAAACTTTATTATCACTTTTTCTCATGCACAAGAATGTTTCTGGGTTTCTCTGAAAGACAGATGAAAGACAGAATTACATTAGTAAGGATATTCTTAGGCATTGTGTGTTACATATCCCAAGTCCTAATTAATATATAGTACTTATAAGCATATTCTCTTGATTACTTTTGTCTAAAGACATTACCAAGAGAATGTCACTGTATTCCTTAAAAACAACTATTTGTATCGGTAAAATGCAGGGTGATACCATTCTTCTTTTACTTGGAAATTTAGTGGACAATTAACATCTGTCAAATATATAATACTCCGTTTAATGAGGATATTTATCATCTTTCCATGCTGCACAAAAATAATTATCATAATATGTCAAAAAAGAATTTGAACCAAATGACATGTTTGGTTCCCTGTACCGAAAGTTGAGCTGTATTTTCTGTTTAAATCATGAAAATTGGGAGTGTACATACAACATTCCTTCAAGTCTTTCACGTGAAAGCAATTTTTAAAGTAGGATATGTCAGACAGCACACTGGGTCGATTTTGTTAATTTTCCAGTATTAGTGCATGTACTTTAAATGCGGCCAGTATGCATACCGTAATTATGGTAGTTATGTTAGTTTTGGAGAAGTGAAAATAAAACATATAAATAATATGAAAGTAGAATAGCAAACAATTGTGTGGTCTAAAAATATTTTGGGGATCGTCTAAAAATATTTTGGGATGGTCTTAATATATTGGATGGTCTAAACTGTTTTGGGGATGGCCTGAACATATTTTGGGGATGATCTTCGTTACTATGTTTGGAACAAATGCGGGCAAATAATCAATTTGCTGTGGCCTACATTGAACATTTTTCTTGGCATCATTCTTGATATCAAATTAATTATATCAAATAAATGCCATATCCCATAAATCACTTAGCCTTCCAGTATTTGCCAGCTATGCAGCTAATGAGAAATGACCAGGTATTCAGGAAGCACTATAATCAATTACAGATCAAGCTTACATTGCTCCAGATTAAAAGCAAACATATGTATGAATTGTTCACATACTTAATTGCTTTACATGAAATACCTGTAGACCAGGTGAGTTAACTCATTTACCAGGACTGGTCAATCATAAATGCAGTTCATCAATAAACATCACAACACCTGAATCCAACCTGTCCATTGTGTAGTTGTTGATTGCATAACATGACTGACAGGTATGCAGAGGTAAGTGGCGTGTGATGTGTCAGAATGATGTGTTATGTAACCAGTCCACAAGGAAACTGTGTTCACTGGGGCCATTACAACAATGAATTTGCTTGTCACGGGAACAGATAGCAGGAAAACTTGTCAGAAAAACCAGATTGTGGCAAACATGGATATCTGGAAATACAGGCAGTGCAGTTTAGGCCATAGTCAGTTAATTATTTGATTTTCATTCCTAACTAAATCACATCTTTTTCTTGTTCACTAAAATGTGTAGTCGCAATCCTTGGTTTAAACACAAGTTGGAGCCTTTGATGGTTTAAACACAAGTTGTAGCCTTTGATGGTTTAAACATATGTTGGAGCCTTTCATGGTTTAAACATGTTGTTTCTTTCAATGGTATACACACATGTTGTAGCTGTCCATGGTTTAAACATATGTTGGAGCCTTCCATGGTTTAAACATGTTGTTTCTTTCAATGTTATACATGTTGTTTATTTCATGGTTTAAACAATGTTGTAGCATTCCATGGTTTACACATATGTTGTAGCCTTTCATGGTTTATCCATGGTTTAAACATGTTGGAGCTTGCCATGGTTTAAACATCCTGCCATGGTTTAAACATCCTGTATCTTTCCATGGTATACACACATGTTGTATCTTTCCATGGTTTAAACATGTTGTATCTTTCCATGATATATAGAGAATCTCACCCGAGTGTCTTTTGATATCAAATATATCACCACGAGTTGATAAATGTCAAATATTTTCACTTTTGTCAACGAGTGTTAAGATATATGATATCAGAAGACACGAGGGTGAGATTCTATTTGTCATCAAAAATCACTCTTCATTATTTTTCAATGAAAAATGTACATCTCTGAACACAGTACTGCCATTAGACTCGCAGTGCAGTGATGTCAGAGCATTGTGACATCATCAAGTTCATGATGTCATAGCATTGTCAGGGCATTGTACAAAATCTACTGTCAAAACGATATCTCCTAGGCGTTTGATGTCACACAAGCAATATCTCCTGTGGAACACAGTTTTGGATGACAAACACACATGTTGTAGCCTTTATGGTTGAACCAGTTTAGAGCATATCTTGCTTATAACTTTGCCTAAAATAATTAAAATTTGAATATGTTTTATGATTGATTTCCTCAATGTTAGGCAGGTAGGAAGGAAAAGGGGGCAGGAATAGGGAATCATTTTTATTGCTGTGTTTTGAAGTTTTTGCTAAAAACAAATATTCAAAAGGTTTTAGTTGTAGTAAACAGTTTAAATGAGTGAATTATATTGGTCATGTTCAGTGAGTTTTCTAAACACATTTTACTTGATCTTTTGATATTTGACTAATCTTTGATCTTGTGGCCACATATAACCCTGTAGAAATAGGAGTAGTGAGTGAGTCAAGTTCTACGCCGCTTTTAGCAATACTCCAGCAATATCACGGTAGGAGACACCCAAAATGGGCTTCACACATTGTACCCATGTGGGGAATCAAACCCATGTTTTCAGCATGATGAGCGGACACTTTAACCATTAGGCTACCCCACCAACCCAGTAATAAGAGTAAAGGTGTACACATTGATTCATGCAACCAAATCTGTAAAAAAATGTCCAAAACAAATTTTTGAGTAAAATAAGAGTATTGACCCAAGGATGTTGTGATCTAACAGTTTAACCAAGGGTTGAAACCCAAGAATGATTGCAAATGGTCAAAAAATGTGAAAGTCATGGGACATCCTATCTCCAGACAGTCTTCATGTTTCGGCTAATGTTTTACTTTGGGTAATGTGATCATAGCCAGTCGGTGTAGATTTGGGTCTGTATGCTCCTACAACAGAGTTGGTAGTGTCTGGGGTCTGTATCACGTCCATATCATGTCTATTTCGACACTGTCCATCAACAGAATGCACACAAGCACCTGTTGTTAATTGTCAATGTTAACATATTTAAGCAAACAATGGGGCACTGATGTTCTGCACACATGTAACATTGTGTAATTTCGGTCTTGAATATTCCAGCAATTTTGAAGAGACTGTCATGTCCAAGGGTTGTTGAACTTTCAACTTCTATCATGTCTGTCTCAAGTGTATTGTTTCAACATTGATGATTTATGACTGGCTCTACCTTTGATTATAGTATTTGATTGAGTGAGTGAGTGAGTATGGTTTTACGCCACTTTTAGCAAGTGAGTGAATATGGTTTCACGCCACTTTTAGCAAGTGAGTGAGTAAGTATGGTTTTACGCCACTTTTAGCAAGTGAGTGAGTGAGTATGGTTTTACGCCACTTTTAGCAAGTGAGTGAATATGGTTTTACGCCACTTTTAGCAAGTGAGTGAGTATGGTTTTACGCCACTTTTAGCAAGTGAGTGAGTGAGTATGGTTTTACGCCACTTTTAGCAAAGTGAGTGAATATGGTTTTACGCCACTTTTAGCAAGTGAGCGAGTGAGTGGTTTTACACTTTTAGCAAGTGAAGTTGCTTGAGTGGAGATAATGGAATTTATGCCTTCTTTTAACAGAGTAGGGTGCATCCCTCAAAACTATCTCAAACCTATGATATGGGTTTTATTTGCCACTTTTAGCGTAAAAAGTGAGTGAATATGGC